TTTTGGGCTGTTTTGGGGCTGTTTTGCTCGATTCGGTGAGCGATCGCTTTGCAACGCTGCAGCTTGTTCGAACTTACATATTTACAAGCAAAATGACCCAAAACCATGAGAAAACATGCTGTCAAGCAGCTGTACATGCGGGTGTGAGCGACGAACGGTTCGTTGAACGGAGTTGTTGCGGGTGCGCGACGACCGTTCGTGACAGGGCGGTACGATTCGGTAAGTCAATCCTTGTATAACACCATATGTTTATCCTTTTTCTATTTCTTTCTACCACCACATAAAGATCTGATTCTTTTTCCTTGCTGTCTGACTTCTATGTTAAATTATGTTTACTATGAACGCAAGCCACAGGTTCGAAATTGCAAAATTTTCTCAACCTCAATGGTTATTGAGCAGCTGCCTTTAGGGGCTATGTTTTATTATCTCTCTTTTAGTATGTGAATTATATTGTCTGGGAGAGTTATCAGTTCCTATAGGAGAAAAAGAGAATAAAATCTATAGTAAATTTATGGTAGGAATTCTTGAATCAAGTTGTACATATTCATGTAGCTTTTGAACTGTATATCATCTCTTTCTGCAGCTTGAGGTGCCAAAAGAACTTATAAGCCAGGCAGTGCTGGAGGAGTTGAGGGTGCAACGAAGACCCTCTTTTGTTCCCATGTCAAAGGAAGGCAATGCAACAAAACTATTTGACAAGGAAACTGGCATAACACAGTGTTGTCTTTCAAATGGGATTCCTGTAAACTACAAGGTACTTATCTTTAGTAATGATTGCTGTGTTCATCATTTCTCTATATAAAGTATAAAGTATAAACTATATAATTATGTTCATTTTGAAAAACCTTTTGTAGACGAACAAGAACTGATTTCCTGAAAAAGCACCCAAAAATTATTATCTCCTCAAGTCACGTATCTGCTGTCATATATGCTAAAAATGGAATAACAACCTTTTTTTTATGCATTGTGCATATAGGATAAATATGGTAGTCAAGTGAATACCCAGCATAGAAACAATGCATGCTGCATGGCTGTGCCATGCTAATTTGTTGCTGGTTACGAATTCTCGTTAAAGGTTTGTATTATATCTTCATAATATGCATGGTGGCCTGTGCCATTGCAGTGTGCAAACATGCCCTGTTAATGTCACCCAATGTTTCATGTTTTGTTCGGATCTGTACAAAACGAGCGCTACGTGTGGCTCTGGGCGTGAACTGGACCACCCCCGTTTTGGGTGGTATGGTCCAAACCATTATATACACACACACACACACATACACACACACATATACTTTAGGGTTTACATTCATGAGCCCTCTTTGCTTGAATGTCAGCTCTTTTGCCTCATGCTCCTCTTCCTCCATTGCCTCCTCTTATTCCTTTCTCTTTGTCCATTGTCTCCACTTCTTGTTCTCTCCTCCTCCTTCCTCTTTGAGTCACCCGTACATATTAGTATATCATGTGTTGGTACATACTACATACGTACTGACTGGTACATATCGGTCCGACTAGGTGTCACTGACATGCATTGACATTAGACATTGGCATGGTGCTTTATGGTGCCAACAAGTGACTCAAATGTGAGACGATATTGTCACTCTTGGTCACCATTTTGGAAGCAGAACCTGTGCAAAATTGTTAAGCCTTACTGCAAGGCCTGCATTTTCATTTTTCTAATTGTAGTTGCTTCTTATGGAAAAAGAATCAGAATCATTTTCCCTTACCAGGGTATTTCCTTTTCAAGTCTTGTTTAATGGAATCATTTACTCTTATTTGCCTTTTCCTCAATGTGTTTAATTGTTAGATATAGATAAAAAAACATCATTATCTGCAGTTGCCTGATTTTTCTTTCTTTATGGTGCCAACAAGTGACTCAAATGTGAGACGATATTGTCACTCTTGGTCACCATTTTGGAGGCAGAACCTGTGCAAAATTGTTAAGCCTTACTGCAAGGCCTGCATTTTCATTTTTCTAATTGTAGTTGCTTCTTATGGAAAAAGAATCAGAATCATTCTCCCTTACCAGGGTATTTCCTTTTCAAGTCTTGTTTAATGGAATTATTTACTCTTATTTACCTTTTCCTCTTAATTGTTAGATATAGATAAAAAAACATCATTATCTGCAGTTGCCTGATTTTTGTTTCTTTTACTTTTCTGTGTTTTTTTATGAACAGATAACAGAAAATGAAGCTAGGTGCGGTGTCATGCGCCTCATTGTGCGTGGTGGAAGAGCAACTGAAACTTCTGTATCAAAAGGAGCTGTTGTAGTGGGTGTCCGAACTCTGAGTGAAGGTGGATGTGTCGGTAATTTTTCCAGGGAACAGGTGCAGTTTTCTTTTTGCAATATGCTTATATGGACAAAATGGGATTCATTTACTTTTTGTGAATATTGCCAACTATCTCATTTGAGAATGCATAAAAGAATGTTTTGAAGTTTCTGGTCCATAAACTAGTTTCGTATGAGTAGTTTATTTTTGACCTGAATGAATTTGTTCTTCATCTCTTACTGTAGTAATTTTATGGTTGTTCTTTATCTTGAGATGTATTTCTTAAGGATACTGAAGATTTATAGGCTCTAGGAACAGCAAAAAGTGGAGTGTTGGTTGGAGCAAGCTGCCCTATTCTATTAAGATTCTATTTGGAAATCTGTAGGATTGTAAAACTATTCTATGTATTATTCTTCAGTCTGGTAGTATTGTGTTGTCTCAAATAAATGACAACTATTGTATTCATATATTGGATTAATGTGTAATTAAAAGAAGGATGTTGGGTTAACGTGGAAAGAAATAAAAGTATTTGCCTGAAAAGAAATAAAACAACCCTTAAAGAACAATATAAAAGGTAATTTATAGTGTTGTCCAACCAATTAGACAAGGAGTGAAATGTATTTAGTTTTTTATCTTCTTCTCAACTAGTTGACTTGTTCTGCTCTTCTCCAGGTAGAACTTTTTTGTGTTAATCACCTAATAAACTGCTCCCTGGAGTCCACTGAGGAATTCATTGCTATGGAATTCCGATTTACTTTAAGAGATAATGGAATGCGTGCTGCTTTCCAACTTCTTCATATGGTACTTGAGGTAACAATATTTCTTTTGAACTTCTTCACTTTGTCTATGTCCATAATTTGAATTCTATTTGTGCTTATTTTTAGGAGTCTAGCATCTATCTAGAATGTGATTGGTTAAAGTTACATGAGCTGAGTTTATTTTAAGAATTTTTATTTTTGAAGTTCTTGAAAGACTTTTGATGTTGGCCCTATCAAATCTTTTTCTTTGTTTCATTGATTTATTGAGTTACCTATTCTAGTTGTACCAAGCACATTTTAAGCTGGTCATGATGATTTTTTGCCAACTGGAGATGCCAAACTGTTGTAGCTGTTGTAGTTGGTTCACTGTTGGAGCTGCAACACTTAGAAAGAGAAAATTAATATAAGATGATTCTTCATTTTTTATTAACCCTTAAATCATATTGTGGGCTTCTCTTAAGTTGATATTGGATCAATTGAGTTTAAGTTTCTTGTTGCAGCATAGTGTGTGGCTAGAAGATGCATTTGATAGAGCCAGGCAGCTATATCTATCATATTACCGTTCCATTCCAAAAAGCTTGGAGCGCTCTACTGCTTTCAAACTTATGCTTGCAATGCTAAACGGCGACGAGAGATTTGTTGAGCCAATGCCAGAGTCTTTGCAAAATTTAACACTTCAATCAGTAAAAGATGCTGTAATGAAGCAGTTTGTTGCTGACAATATGGAGGTGGACATTTTTTTTTTGGTTTGATCACAATGATTATTTTGTTCTCAATGTTTTGTTTCATGTTAACTTGTTGATTAACAAGGTATGGGTAAGTAAATGATTGCATGACATGCACAGGATTCCTTGTTCATATCACCTGCACATCTCTTTCTCTGTTAAACTAATTTGCTATTGGTATAACAGGTTAGCATTGTTGGGGATTTTACTGAGGAAGACATTGAAGCTTGTATTCTTGATTATCTGGGAACAGTTAGCACTGCAAAAAGTCCTAACATTGAGCAGTCTTTTGAACCAATTATGTTCCGACCTTTCCCGTCTGATATTCATTTCCAACAAGTATGTGTTCTAAGCTATTAACATCATGACTCTTCCATGAACATCAGAATTGCCCATGTTTTACCCTTCATTTACATAAAACATTCCGGAATTTGAGCTTATTATTCAGAGATAATACTGTCATTTTGAGATAACTAGTGCACTTACTGTATTTACAGTCCATATCTTTCCAGCAAGTCATAAGGGCCCAATCATTTGGTTCTGCTATGTGGATCATTTTAAGCAATTTGAGCTATGTTAAGGCCAATATCAATAGTCAAACTGCACCCTGTCTCTCTGTCCTTAAACTCAATGCACAATGTAAATGTTCAATGTTTAAAGAGTGGTTTTTTTACTTAGAGAGGGAGAGGCGGCAATTTAAAGGACTTGGCAATCCTTTTTTTCTTTCCTATGTAAATATCCTTTTGTCATCACTTCATTTTTTAAATACATATTTTGTTATCATGTATTCAGGAGCACTTTTTGGTTGGGAACCATTAGGTAATTATTTTAGTGAAGTGAAATGATTTTAAATGTTTTTTATTCATTTCTTGTCACTGAGAAAAAAGGATAGCTAGCAGGTGTTTGGGATAGATAATCTTAAGAGGCTTGGAAGCAGGAAGTCCAGGCAGTTGTTTTGTGAAGTTCTGCTTCATGGCAGCAACATGATTGGCTTATGTCTAGAATTTTGTGGATTTCATTATTTGATTGATTCACTTACTCATATATTTCAGTGTTCAAATGTTGAAGCTTGTTAGTCTAAAAATCATTTTCATTGGCAGGTGTTCCTGAAAGACACTGATGAGAGAGCATGTGCATATATTGCGGGCCCAGCCGCAAGCCGTTGGGGATTCACTGCTGAAGGAAGAGATCTTTTTTATTTGATTAATGCATCAAATATGGATGGTACATTATGTTTGCTTGAAGCTCTTGACAAAGACTGCTCCTTTTCTTTTCCATGGCTTCCTTTGTCTTTGATTCCTTTGTGCATCCATCTTAGTTCTTTATGATTTTATTCTAAACATAATTGATGTGGATAAATTCCAAATGGGATGGTCATCTTTTATAGATATCATCTCAGTAACAAATCTAGTCTCAAAGCATGCTAATTAGACAGTCCAATTCATTTCCTCAAAAGATAGTACTTCAATTCCACAAGTGCTTTTTTTTTCCCAAAAAAATGGAAGGAATTAAGCTTATTAGTAACTGCATCAAAACGAATCGTATATTTGTTTGGACAAACTTAGAATGCTGATATTTGCTATGTATATGCCTATTTTTGGGACTTACATCTACTGGCTGAAACTGATTGAATTGTTTTAATGCAGATGAAATGTCCAACTCAGATAAAATAATTCACTTGGAAGAGAAAAATGTTGAAAAGAATGGTAAAAAAGGTATTCGCAGTCATCCGCTATTCTTCAGCATAACCTTGGGGCTGTTAGCTGAGATCATAAATTCAAGGTACATGGGTTGTCGTTGGTTGGTAAATATATTTAGCTCATGTCAATATTGCACTTTTCGTAATATTGATTAATTAGTTAAATTAGAACTTGACTTCAAGATGTAACTATGAAACTTTTTTTTTTTTGTGGCCTATTCATTTTTCAACTTAAAGATTCAAATTCCAGATGATATTTATCTCTTTGGTTCAACTTTGCCCTTTAATTTAGTTGGAACTTGGAGGATGGATGCTTCTTTTTTCTCCTGTTACTTTCTCAATATGCAATTGGCATCTTGTGATGTATAATCATGTCATTCATTTATTATCACATAATAGATTCAATGGATTTACCCTTTATCTAATCTTACACAACCATCATTTTCTCTTTGCAACTTTTTATAAATAACACTCGTGAACCGTATACACGGTGACGACTGTCCTTTTACTTATAAGCTCAAATGGTTACTGACATAATGTATGCCAATACATGTGTATCCTGTTCCAGGCTCTTCACAACAGTCAGGGATTCTCTGGGATTAACATATGATGTATCATTTGAACTAAGCCTTTTTGATTGGCTGAATCTTGGGTGGTATGTTATATCGGTGACATCGACTCCAAGCAAGGTATGGTCAATCTGCCTCTGAACAAATTATCTCATGTGCTTGCTCCAATATCCAGGTGCATCAACCTGTGTGATTTCTTTTCAAGGTATATAAAGCTGTTGATGCATGCAAGAATGTTCTCAGGGGTTTACACAGTAACAAGATTGCTCAGAGGGAGCTGGATCGGGTTAGTGAATATCTAGCCTGTTATATTTATCTAATAATTTGTAACCACGTGTCCAGATCTATGAAATGGAACTGTGCAACTACAAATTTGATAAATTAGGTTTTGACTGTAATCTGGCATATGAAATGTAATAGGGAATTAAAACTTAAATTTTAATGCACTATCTATCTTCCTCCATGGAACCTTATGAAGTATTTTTTAGTCCCCACCAATATCATGTTGCATTGTTTAGTTGCTTAGGGTACATAACCTTGTCTCTTAAAATGATTTTGAGTAGGAATGGTCAGAATAATTGCCTAAGTTGTGCAATTGTTTAATTCTGTTTAGAAGGTTTTGACTTCACTATTGGGCCTGAATAGATAATATGGAGATCACTAACATCAAAACTATTGTTATTGCAGGCAAAGAGGACTCTGTTGATGAGACATGAGGCTGAAACTAAGTCAAATGCTTACTGGTTAGGATTGATGGCCCACCTTCAATCTTCTTCCATTCCAAGGAAGGTAAATTCAGTGCTTCATATTTCTTTGATGTTTCTTGTTGTAAGGTATACCTATTGGTATGTGTGAGTATCAGTTGAAAGTGGAAACAAAGTCTAAGTTTCATTTCCCTGGCTGTTGTTGCTGTCATTCTTTCTTTTTATCTTTATTCTTCTGTGTTTTACATTTGTCTAGTTTGTGATAATTGTGGGAATTTACAAACCTTCATGGTTGTTGAGGTATAGAAAGTCTTATCTATTCTTAGTCTACAGAACCTTTTTGTTGATCGAGAAGGCCGGGTGGCTGCTATTAGATTTATAATACATTGGACTGGTATGTACCAGCCGGTTTTTACCAGTCTGATTAAGAACCAGTATCATATCAGGTGGCTCAATTATAGTCAGTATTATTATTATTTTTTTTTAATGATATCAATATATACCAGTACTGGTCTATCAATGTGCCAAACTACTATTGGACCAATATTTAAAACCATGACTTCAACATTTGTGGGTGTTCTGTTTTAATCCCCTTTCCCACAACAAAACAGTGGAGACCTGGTGTCCATCTCCCATTACTCTAGAGGTAAAATCTGCTGGTGCCCGCATGGCAAAACATGAACTAACTGAGATTTCAACTGGGATGTTTTTTTACTGAAAATCATCTTTTGTGATGAATGCACATAAAGGTTGAAAGTATTTTTCTGGTGCAAAAGTAATTATGCAAAATGTTCTAATTTGATTTTTTTTTTTTTGAAGTGAATACTCAAATTGAGTATGGGTTAGCTGTGTGTAAATGCTATCAGCTTATTGAACTGGACCTTAAGTATTTGTTTCCTGTATGGTGTCTTTATGAATTGCTATAATGGGAGAAAACATCTATAGTTGTCGCTAGGAGTAGTTTTATAAGGTATGCAAATTCAGGAAGCAACATATATGTTGCAATAAAGTCCAATTCCAGTTGTCCTGTGCTCCATCTTTCTTATTCTCCCTAATGTTTCTTTGTTTCCTCTCCACTTTTGTTCATCTTTTCTCCTGGCTTTGCTTTTGGTATAAAACGTATCAGTCAGATTTTTTTTCTTTCTTTTTTTCCTTTTATGACAGTTTGTGATGGATTACAGGACATCTCATGCATCAAAGACTTAACTTCCTTATACGAAGCTGCAATGATTGAGGACATATATGTTGCTTATGAACATTTGAAAGTAGATGATACTTCCTTGTTTTGTTGTATTGGAGTCGCTGGTGCCCAGGCAGGCGAAGATATTTCTGGTAAGACATGCATCTTATATGAGTTATATTGTTTATCGCTGAAATATTTTTCATAATTATTTCTGGAACAGTTTGTCTGATACCCGTAAGGATCAACATAGGATCAAAGGGAGCATGTTTTTCTTCTATCATGTAGTTTCCATTCTTTTTAAAAATGCATCAGCCACTTGGCACCATACATGCAGTTACATGCCTGCATTAGACTCCTCATGGGGAGTACTTGTAATCAAGGTTTGCAACCTAGTACCTTTATCTCTTTCTTGGGAGTACTTGTAATCAATGTTTTATTGTGGGATCTGTCGTTGACAACCAAAACAGCTGTTGATCGGCAACTGTAGGGAGCTGTACTGTTGACATGAGGATTGGATTGTGGGACATGATGGTTTGGCTGTCAACATCAGGTCTCCAAATTTAAGACGTAAAATAACATTTTTTGAGTGAAATCGTCTGGTCAAAGTGCTGGTACATGGTTTTATCTGTAAATATGGGTCGATATGTACCGTTCCTACAGTTTTTAAACTTTGATTATAATACAGCATAAGATTGTTCTATTGTGCTCTTATTTTCTTTTATCATCATCTGACAGATTTAGGAGATGAGGAGCTAGATGTTGGTCACCATGGAATGGCTTCTTCTGGCCGTGGTTTGTCAACAATGACGCGTCCAACAACCTGATCTTCCTTGAGTGTTCCTATTGGCCTGAAATCTTAGTCATCTTGGAGGTAAAGTTGTGGTGATATGCTTATGCAAAAAAATTGTCTTTACTGGAATTTGTTTGGCTTAATGCTACAACATAATCTTCGTTTGACTTGCTTGCTATCATTAGTTCCTCGATGAATGGATTTGAGATCTGAAAATAATTCCCTTTGAGAGTACACCCATCTTTTACCTTATGCCACACAAAAGATATACCAGCCCATGGTGCATCGTAATTTTCTGTCAAGTGCTTTTTCTGGAATTAGAAAATCAACTAACATGACATTCGTCTCATTTAGCACTTGTCGACCATCTTCTGTCTGTCCATTAATGTTAGCATGTAGGTAGCATGTAGGCGCACGTGTAGAGTGTTGCTTGTTAAAATTTCTTTACTTGAACTCTTTGAATTTTGCCCTTCTTCCTGAAGCTTACTTATGTGTAGATCTATTGCACATTTTGCTCGTCTTATACCATGGATTGAACAATTCCCATTTGTTTGTAACAGGTCATGGGTCGAAGTGGAAGAACCCTGGGATGCACCTTGGAGCGCCGTTCTTCATGCAACATTGTAACCTCATACAGATCAGTCACTGGCGGGGATGGATACCAACAAGAAAAAAATTTCTCTGAATTTTAAACAGGTTTCATTTTTTTATTATTATTTGGTGTAAATTGTATATGGAAATAAATGAAAAAAAATTTCAGTTATTTCTTGGGGAGCTGTTATTTGGTTCATTTGATCTCGCGCAGCGCAACCACTGGATTTGTTGTAGCTCTGATTCCAAACCCCGTGATCAACCTCGAACTCGATTTCGTACAATCTGAACCGAACTCCTTCCCAACAAAGTGTTGAGAGCTGTGCGGCTGACCGCGAGATGGCATCCGTTGGTTTGGGTGCTCTCGGGGCCAAACCTGAAATATGCTTGGCTATGCTATCACTACAGGTTCGATCTATCAAGTGGACGACAACATGGAAGAGGTTCAAAAGACGCGAGAAAACAAAAAAGAAAGCGCTTGTAGCTAAGAAAATGATACATTTATTTCAACTGGTAAAAGATCGAGTAAGATTCCATATACATATGTTTTAGGATTCGGTATAAACATTTGTGCCATACTAAACCTATCTATAAATATATATAATTTTGCTCATTTTACATCATTTTTAAAAATATTACACTCGAGCAATTCCTCTGTGATACCAACAAAAATTTAAATATCACACTTTTTTTTAACTTTTACTGTGACATCAACTGATAGGTTGTTCTTTTGCTAATCATTGTCTGAATTATAGAAATAGTCTCTGTACTTTTATTATGCATTTTATCTTTTAGGTAAACGAAATTCTATTCAATGTCTCAGTATAAAACATCCGATTCTCAAATGAGATATTCTCAATTAATATAATATCTAAGAAAGGATCTTCATTTTTTGTTCTGTGGGTCCCTGGAAGCCAACCAACAGGAGGGCTCCTGTTCGATGAACCCTGACTCCCACTCTATACGGAATTCCAGCGAAACCCTAGGTGTTCATCTATATAAATCCCTCGTTTTCTCGCCGCCGTAGCCCTTCTTTGCGCTCGCGTCTTCTTAGCCGCCCAAATAAGGTATTTCTCCATCTCTCTCGTCGGCCTGCATCCCTCTATTCCTCAGTCTTCCTAGAATTGATCCCCTCCTCGTTCTTTGATCTGTCATTCGGCGAAGAATTCCTGGTCGCCGCGTGATGGCCTCGATTGGAGAGCTCGCCTGCTGCTACGCTGCTCTCATCCTGCACGACGATGGCATCCCCATCACGGTAATCCGCCCCTTACATCCCTGTTTCTTTCTTCAGCGTTCCTTCTCTCGTTCATGCATTATTTTTCATTGATTTCCTGATTCGTCCCACCGTGTATCGATCAGTCGGAGAAGATCCTGACCCTGGTGAAGGCCGCCAAATTGACGATCGATTCTTACTGGGCGCCCCTCTTCGCGAAGCTCCTCGAGAAAAGGAGCATCGATGACCTTATCTTGAGCGTCGGATCCGGTTCGTTCTCGTTACTTTTCGTCCTTCTCGTCCGTTTCATGCGATTAAAAATCCAATTTTTAACCTCATTTTTCGTGATGTTCTTATATTTTTCCAGGGGGCGGTGGTGCTGCGGTTGCAGTCTCCGCTGCGCCGGCTGCTGGGGACGGGGCTGCGGCCCCTGCCGCTCCTGCAGCTGAAGAGAAAAAGGTGAGAAATTTCCTCTTCTTTTGGGGTTTTATTAATGTTACACGGTAGTGTTTGAAATGTTTTTCGTCATTGTTGTTGCAGGAGGAGCCCAAGGAAGAGAGTGATGATGACATGGGATTCAGCTTGTTCGATTAGATAGGCAGAGAGAAAGATCTATGTTATCGTCCTCTGTTTAGATACGAATGTTAGGTACTTGTTGCCGCCATCGTGTCTGGTCTTCTATGCTATTTTGGTTAATCTATTGCGAGTCTTATATGTTTGCTTAGTTGAATTCGAGATGGCAGAGTTATTTCCTTGTGGATTTTCAGGTTTGTTCACTTTGTTATCAATGTTTCTTTTTAGTGAATTAACGTTCTTCGATTCATTTTGTTTCTCTGAGCTATGAACATTAGTTGCATGCGTAATTTATGCTAAATAATGCTTCCTTCTCTATTTTCATTTTTATTGAAGACGTCTTACTTCAAGTTGTATATGATCATTAGATTGACATATACAACTTATCAATCCTCATAAGAGACCATTGGAGAATTGCCACCCCTAATCCTAAGAATATCAACTCAGACATTATGATTACCAACATCGATGTGTGGCTAGTTACAAACAATCTTTTGTATTAACAGATTGATTTTGATCAACCTTTCCCATGTATAAGAAAATGATGAGATCAGATACTGTTTATGTTGGAAGTATAGTAACACAAAATCAATCCTATAGATAAAATCACTTGGGAAAAATTACTTTGAATTGCATACATATTTTTATTATAAAGATTTTAGAAATCAACTCTTATCTAAATATGATCCTTATTTTGGTATTGTTTCCGATGTGAAGTCTCATTTTTGACTCTCTATGAAAGAGTTTCTTTTCTCATCTTGTTGATGTATGTGAAAGATACAATTCGAATTATGCAAACATGAAAAACCCTAATCACCTTTTTCTTATATAAGCTCTTAAGAATATAATTATAGTTAGGTCAATAAGTGCATTCTTCCCTAAAGAAAAAGTTTTAGTTGATGTAATTGAGTTAGGAAATAGTTGATCTCTTCAAGTTCTCATCGAATTAGTGGAAGTTCAATTACACAATTTTGATCTTGAATATACATTATAGGCTCTTGGCAAAGGTAGGTGCAACTTATCCAATCCATTCCAAAATCTCAAGTAGTTGATCTTGAATATAAGTCTAGGACTCAATTTGTTGTATATTCTACATCTCATAAAACTTTTATATAAGTTATAATTGTATCTTCCAAATCTCATAAAACTTTTATATTCCCTCACCAAAGTAAAGAAACTCGTTTGTGGGAAATCTCATAGTTGGAATTGAGACTTAACTTGCTTTCGTAAAGATTTGGTCTCTGTAAATGTTGAGTTTCTAATATTTTTCTAACATTAATCTAAATATGATCTTCGGAGAAGCGATATGGATTCTCGATGTGATCTCACTTTTGACTTGATGGCTCTACATCAGTGAGTTTCTTTTCTTGGATGTAGGGAAAGTCACTTACCCATGTCTTTTGACTGTACAATTAGATCATTATGGAATGAAAATCTGTCACACTTTTCTTATAAGTATATTTTAGTAAATGCGATTATACTTTTAGGATTTAGGGTTGTATTCTAGTAATCACGAGTATACTTGGAACCAAAGGAAACAAGAAGACAAGCATAACACAATTTCTTCTTATGGACCTAAGGAAATTTAGGTTTGTTGTGAACTAACTATGCATAAATATCAGTATGATAAATGGCCAATGAGTTCATGAAAGAATTGTGACGATCACTGCCCAAAGATGACATGGGTTGAGGGAGTACATTGCAATGGTTGATAAGTCATATCAGGGGTTATGCATTTTAGTCAACTATTAATGTGTCACCATTGCGAAGTATAGTGTCATTCCTTCAACCTTGAAAACACTATCTATAACTGCTTGTAGTCAACTTTACAGGTTGATATTAACAACAGTAGCAAACTAGCTGGTCCCTGTTGGTTTACCGATTACCAAAATCAATGAATGCAGTCTCATGTATGTTGTCTGAATTCATTGTTATTAGCATATCCCATTTTTCATCTTTTGCTTTTGTGAAGCTGAACTTTCAGTTTTGTTTGCTGGTCATTGATAGTTGCGGTTGTCTACAACACAGCCATAAAACACACACAAACGCGCACAATGGAGACTGCAGACTAGCAACTTCATGAGAACTTTTTATCGTTAATACTATGGTGAAAGAGCAAGAAACGCCCGTTTTTGGATCTTTTTCTTCACTCGTATAGTTGATGGTTTCTCAACAATGTTTTTGTTTTGGGAGATCTAACTTTTGTATGTAGAAAACCTTTTTCAGTATCAGTTATGCAACATGTTGCATTGGACTTGTGTAAGTAGTTTGCCCCGAATTGGGTTGGATTAAGCCTGATTTGAGTTAGATATGAATTGATCTGAATCGAGCCATAACTATCTGAAACCATGCCTGGTCGAATGAATGCCCTCGAGTTAGATCGAGGCACAGATATGTCAACTTAATTTCAAGGTATAATGATCGTTACTATAGAAATGCTTGTCGTTTTTGTTCCTGATGCGCATCGCATTTCATTTCAGACAACACACTCTACAGTCCATTATTTCTTTTCCTCTCCGTACAAAAGACAAATAGGAAAACTCGGTGGTGGTTGTCCGCATGACTTAGGAGACATCAGAGAAGAAATCTTGGATGATCGATCACCCGATCTGCGATAGGAATTCGTACTGTGTGCTTTCCCCCACCGCACCATGTCAAGCTTCCGAAGGTGAAGTACCCTCGTACCACGTGAAGCGGTGCAAAGGTCACCGCAAAGTTGTCCGTCGTCCGGGAGGAGTTGAACCGGAGAAGAGAGACGGCTCCACGGTCATGCTGACGCCCGGAGGAGACTGCACTATCGCCTCGTAAGTGGAATTCGCGTCGCCCACGTTGGTAACGCTTCTCCACACCGTCACCGGCGTGTTGTTTAGGTCGGGAATGGAGATGGACGGCAGATTCAGGTGATACAGGCGGTGGTTCACCAACTCCCGAGGAACCAACCCCCTCCGCTTCCATCGGGAAGCCGTATGCGTTGGTTGTGTAAGCTTTAAAGAGCGGCGGTCATACATCTCGTGATCAGCAGCAACATCTCATGAACGGAACGGAGGAACGATAACATATCTACTACTCACCAGTCGTTACGAGCGCTGATTTGACGGCGGCAGGAGACCATTGGGGATGCAGTGCTTTGAGAAGAGCTGCTACTCCAGATACGTGTGGGCAAGACATGGAAGTCCCCGACATGAACTGATACCAAGTGTTCGCTGCGGCCAAGATGCCGACTCCCGGAGCAGTGATATCAGGCTGACCAGACGACACAACCATGAACACATTCGTTGGTTTGCTTTCTTCTTGGGGTGATGAGTGATGAAGTAAAAGTAGGTACCTTCGCCAGTTCTGGGCCCTCTCGACGAGAAACCTGCCACCCTCGGCGACATCACCGTGCTTCCCACGGTGGTGGATGCTGGAGTCACCTTCACCATGGCGGATCTGCCACTGTTGACACCATCGGTTCTTCAGAAACAGCCGCAAGGTGTTCGGAAGAACGAATATGCAGGAATCAAACCTTGAACCTTCCCGTCGCGCATAGTTCGATATTTGTAGGCCTACGTCGTAATCTACGAGGACACATATTGAGTCTTCGCAAGGTATCCTGCAACTATGACACTGCTGCTTTGAGTTGCCTCAAGTTCCTTACCACGAAGGATAAGTTTTGGTCTTATATCAGCGCAGAGTACCATCTTCCCTGCTACATCAGTGGAATTTAGATCGACTGCGGGCACAACTACGATGTAGTAACTATCAGCCATCTTCTCCTTACCATCTGAACGCAAAATAGAAGAGAATAAAGGAATCAGTAATCGACAGTGCTCACTCACCTAAAACTAAACGCGAGCTCTTTGAATGAATCCGTCATCCTTGGATCCGTAGAACATAGATTGTCCCAGCAACAGAACTTTTGGTCAGCAACATATTAAGAACAGCTCGTGAAGAATGGGGGTGTTGGTCATAACCCAGTCCGAGGTAGTCAGTCCCAGCTTGGCGTGGTATGTAGCGGAACGCTGCGGCTTGGCTGTGTACCGATCACCTCCGGCGATTCTTAACACGAAAAAGATGGTTTTTTGACATTATAAATATATATAATTCAAAGTGAAAAACAATCCTCTCATTCTGATATCTAAAACAGAAGAATGGATGCGTGGCTAAACAACCTGCATTGTTTATAAATATAATTCAATTTAATGTCTAAAAAATATATATGGATCCATCATATTTTGGTGGAAATAAAAAAAATATATAAAGAAAATAGAAAAACTATTTCTGAATAAATCAGAATAATATTAAATATATTAAAATAGAAAAACTTTGATAGATATCTATATATGATACACTAGTTTTTAGTTTAGACCAAACATTTACAATAAGTTGTTCATTTACTTGGAAGCTCAGATATTAAAAAATATTACATGGATATGATATATTTCCATGGAAATAAAAAAAACTTAGAGAAAATAAAAAAAATCATAAACTATTTAGATTTCGAATAAATAAAAAATATTAAAAAAATTTAATTAGAAAAAAGATGATATATGTCAATCAAAGTGCAATGCAATATTAAAACAACAAAATTCAAAGCATTTGGATCAGCCTTTCTATGTGATACACTGTTATTTGGTTTGACCCCAAAAAAACTATGTATCAAATATTAAGGTTTAACTTTTTTGGATTAAATTTTTACTATAGTTTGTTCGTCTATTTAGAATCTCAAATGTTAAAAAATATTACATGGATATAACATATTTTAGTAAAAATAAAAAGAATATGAGAAAAATAAAAAAATCATAAAACTGTTTATATTATAAATAAATCACAAAAGCGATACATGTCTATATAAGTATACTTCAAAACTTTCATAAAAGTCTTTTAGTTTGATCTTAAAAGATAGTATATCGTATATTAAAAATTGATTTTTTTAAACCAAACTTTTATAATAAGTTGTCCAACTATTTAAAATATCAAATATAAAAAAAAAATACATAAATATATCATGTTTTGATGAAAATAAAAAAAATATGAAGAAAAATAAAAAAAATCGTAAACTATTTATGTGGGTAAAATTCAAAGCTTTCATTAAAATTTTAAAATATTCGGATCCGTTCTTATATTCGATATATTATTTTTTATTTGACCTAAAAAATAATATATGGGGCGGTCGTGGGCCACCACGCTGACCATGCCGTCGAGGGACATAAATAGGATGGATTTGCTTTTATTCCTCATGCATCTAAGTGCACGTTTATTTTGAAGATAGAAAGAGAGCACAAGCTGCTTGACACGACAAGACATAACTGGGCTCCATACTATCACACTCTTACGTGCCTTAAAAGGCATCCAATCCAAAGACATATCTTAGGAGGTATCTGAGAACTCATCTTGAACGATCACCCGAACTGCAAGAGGAATTCTTACCGAGTGCTTCCCACCATCAACCCACGTCAAGCTTCCGAACGTGAAGCCCCCTTGCACCATCTGAAGCGATGTGAACTCGACCATAAAGGTGTGCACCTTCTGGGTACAATTAAACTGGAGAAGAGAAGGCTCGACGGTCACTTTAACGCCTGAAGGAGACTTCACCACCGCCATGTAAGTGGAATTCGTGTCGCCCACATTGGTGACGGTTCTGAACACCGTCACGCAGGTCTTCAGGTCGGGAATGGAGATGGAGGGCAGATTCAGGTGATACAGATGGTGGTCCACCAAGTCACAAGAGCCCAATGCGTCATCGCTGCAGTGGAAGTACTTGAAGTAATCTTTAGGATCGACATCGTAAATAAGCCCAGGATCTGAGGCTCTGTTGGGATCGATTTGACCTCCGCCGAAGTCGAAAGGATCGGCCAGCTTCCGCACACCGCCGTTTGCTTCTATTGGGAAGCCGTTCGCGGTAGTTGTGCGAGCTTTAAACACAGGCGTTCATATGTCACGTCAGCGAACGATCATGAGCGGGCAAAGAGTTGCATGCACGTAGCAGATTACTCACCAGTTGTTACGAGTGCGGATTTGATAGCGGCAGGAGACCAATGGGGATGCACTGCTTTGAGAAGAGCTGCAACTCCAGATACATGAGGACAAGCCATTGAAGTACCGGACAGGAATTCGTACGAATCTCTCACCGCTGCCAATATAGTAGCTCCCGGAGCTGTGATGTCAGGCTGGCCAGAAGGTAAACGTCAAGCCATTGAAGAGAAACAAGACTGTTATTTTTCGGTGAAGGAAGATGATGATACCTTAATTAGTTCGGGGAACAGTACGCTCGGCCCTCTGGAGGAGAAAGCTGCCACCCTGGGCGCCATCACTTCGCTCCCCAAAATGTTGGATGCCGGGCTCACCCTCACCACTGGGGAACTGCCAAATCAACTGACGTTAGATTGGAACATTGGCTTCCCGGCGTTGGAGAATATCCAAGACGAGAGAGAAGCTAGCAAACCTGGAGCTCGCCACGTATGCCAATATTATCGCGCGTCTTCCTCTATCTACATTGACACACAAAACTTGGCAAGTTGAGAGGAGGCCGAGTGGGGGTCGTGCGACGATAACACCCGCTGCTTTGGCTTCGTTCAGCCTCTTTGCCACGTCCTGGAGGTAGCCATCGGCAGCGACAGCGCGGGCAGGAGGCTCGCCATCATCGCACAATACAATCTTTCCTGCTACATTCGTGCAGTTTATGGACTCCGCCGAGCAACTACAATGGACGGAGTATAGGTTAATATCTGTCCTTTTCTGATATCCTAACCAAAAGTCAAAGCACAGTAGTTACCTCCCACCATCCATCAGCTCTATGGATCCGTCATGCTTAGATCCGTAGAACAAAGATTGTCCCTGCAACAGAATTTAGTCAGCAATTGATCACGAGTAGATGCGAAATTTTCGAGTTGATCAGCAGTAGTAAAGATGAAACTCATGCTACCGAAGCTTGATTGTCTCCGAAGGTTAGGGCGGTAGGAAAAGAGCGATCGATGCTGCTGGCTGCGACGGTGATCACCCACGGGAGGTCATTAGCAATGGTCTGAGGGACGGGGCCATCGTTGCCGCCGGCGAAGACCACCGGTATCCCCTTTGCTGCCGCGTGTATAGAAGCATAGTATGGGTTAAGCTGCCCACCGAGGGACAGCGACAAGATGTCCACACCATCATGTATAGCGTCATCTATCGCCTTCAGCACAGTGGCGTCGAGACACCCTACACCGACCCAGCACGCCTTGTAGATTGCTAGCCGAGCGCGAGGAGCTCCTCCTCTCGCGGTGCCGGAACCCAGACCATGGAAACTCACATTACTCACGAACGAGCCTGCTGCGGTGGAAGCCGTGTGCGTCCCGTGGCCTTGGGAGTCTCGGGGAGATTTGTACTCTCCCGCCAGCAGCGAAGGGTCGATGCCTCCGGCATACCATCTTGCGCCGATGATCTTTCGGTTGCAGCTGTGGATGCTGAACAGTTCGCCTGTTTGGCATATTCCTTTCCAACGAGATGGCACGGGGCCATAACCATGGTCGTCGAAGCTTCTGGATTCCGGCCAAATGCCTGCGTCGTCGTTGAAATATTGCATGACGATGTGAAATTAGCAAGCTCGTCGTCATTACATTACTCGATGGCCGATGCTTACCTGTGTCTACAAAACCAATGATGACTCCATCTCCGAAGTTGCTTTGCCGAAGGAGGCCTGTGGGTTGGTGTTGGTTATAATTCAGGCCGAGGAATTCCCAGCTTCGCGTAGTATGTATGGGAACGCTGCGGCTTGGCTTGACACTGATCACTTCCGGCAATTCTGACATGAAAATTGCGGCATATTATCTTTATTATCATTATGATCTCCATTGAATTACCTATTTAAAAGATTAAACCAACAAAGGAGATACGATGTGTTCATCTTTGTTAGGGAAATTTACCTACAAAACTCCTTGCTAATTAACCTTTTTACTAGATAGAAGGGCTTTCTTTTTCTAAATTTTGGTCAAAATTTTTTGAACCGGTCTACTAAACCAGTTTGGATTAGTGAATGAGATGGTTGTATTAGAGAATGCGATTATAATAATAAATAATAGTAATCGTTCAAGCCATCAAGTCTTAAGATATTTAGTTCCAAATCAGAGTCAACGAGTTCAAGTCAACTCATCACCTATGTAAACAACTAAATCTCAAAGTATCATCAATGTTTTTTTTTTTCTCAATGTGATCTGTAACTTGTGATCATTGATTAGGATAGGCGATGGTTAAAATATTTAATATGCAAGTCAAAAGAAGAAGAATTATCTTTATTTGTTTTGTATTATCGCTTCTCCGTCTCAACGTGACTCTTCCTCCTCTATCTCTTTGGCATCTTTTATTTCTTTCATTTTCTCCTCCTCTGTCGCATCCTTGTCGATAACATTATAGTAATTCGGTTTGTGTTGAGGTTGATACTCAAACTCATCAAAAATCAAACAAAGGCATACTCATCAATCGTCCTAAAAAGGAACACCACTTGGTAAATTCTTCATAGAGGGACACTATTTGATAAAAAACTAATCTGCAGAGGGTTTTTCTAAGTAAATTATCCCATTTTTTTATTAAAAAAAAATGGTAAGCAATACAGTCCATTTTTTTTGACTAAATCTCTCTTTCTATTATGAAGTGCATAGACAAAAGAAAAAAGAAAAAGAAAGTTGCAAGTAAAAATCCACTCATGCAACTGAGGTGCACTCACAAGAATACCATCATATCTCTCCATCTTTTCTTTGATCGTTTTTGTTATCATAAAATAAAATACATATAAAGAAAAACACTTAGAATGACTGGTTAAAAACCTGCGATTTGGTCCGCTAGAGATTCTGTGAGCATGGCCGCAAAACCCGAAAAGCCATGTCTGTAGCTGTAGACAATAGAATTCATAGCTTCCTCCATGCTGAAACACCAATTCCAGTACTTCGTAAGCATAAGGGAGAAAAGAGGAAAGAGAAGTAATCGGTAATGCAGATGTACCTCCCCAGCAGTGAAGACAACAAATCATGGTGCGACGCAGTCACAAGGTCTGGATCTTCATGTCGTCTCTCTCCGAGGTACACAATATACAGCTGAAAAATAAAGACACGTTTACTCGAATTTAGCAAGTAATCGACCAACAATATCAGAGCAAATGGACTTCCACCTTCGTTGATGGTTTATCTGCAAATGCCTCCAATGGGAAGGAGTTCAACGTGATGAGAAGGAGGAGACATATGGAGGATAGGAAATGCTGGGAAGCCATCTTAGTTTGGTAATGGAGAGAGCTCATATCATGGCTCTCCTTATAAGCACGTAGTGGCCCATGGCAGAAGGTTTACCAACTCGAAAGATGAATACAAAACATCCCATTTTCTCACCTGCCACCATGGACTAATTCAAGGATCGACGCTTCGGACAACGAAACTGAGTTGCCTGAGTCATAAGATCATAAACTTATATGATGCTTTCATCATCAATTTGCAGTTTGAAATGTTGGAAAATGGGATTAGAAAAAGTATTCTGGAAAGCAATGTATGACTAATTCAATCACATCAAGTTTCACAGCTCCACTCGTTTATAAGATCCATCGCACAGTACGTTTAGTCGTGCGAAAGAGACGAAAGAAAAGGAATACAAGTCGTTAGAAAATTAGATGACTACTTCAAGTTGCAGAGGAGGTAGGAGACTGCAGCTCCGATGTCTCTCTCTCAAAAGCTCCAAGTCCTCGTCTGTACTTCCTTCATAAGCATTTAAGTATGATTATCTATAAATAAGTATTTACTATTATATTTCAAAGACTTTTGTCGAGAATTAATTAAACGTCTAGTTAGCTATAATAGGGATAGTAGGTGATTATCTATAAGCATTTAAGCTTGTTATGTTAGTGCTGAGATTTATAAGTATTTTGAAATTTCTTATATGATGTCGAAAAAAGAAATCCTAATAAAAATTAATAATATATATTTAATTCTTTTATAAATATATCATGTGTCTCTAGTTTTTGATGGGACAAAGCAAGATACAAGGAACACTTTATGTACTTTTAGGATTTTGTGTATGATGTCTAGAGAGGGTGAAAAAAATAAATAAATTTTTCGGATTTATGTGATATGTATGTAAGGGAACTCATAGAGGATAACTTAAAGATTTTGTAATTGATCTTATATATTAAAAAGTTTAATTTTCTTCGTAAACATAGACGTAAGTTGTCAAATCATGTTAAATTTTGCGATGATTTTTAGTATGTTATTTTGATTGTTTATTTCTTATAGATTTTTTTTAAAAAAAACTTTTTCCTCTCTTTCCAATAAGTGATATCAAAGCCTAAAAGATCTAATGGTCAAAGATTCAATAAGAATAATCAATGAAAAATGAAATGAGTGTGGAGCAAAAATATTTTCTCTTTAGAGTTATGAAAGCGGATAAAATACTTAGAGTGATTATTAAGATTTATAAGTATTTTAAGATTATCAAAGTTAATATCATAGAATAAAAAGTATGAGTTTAAAAATAAGTTCTTGTGAAGAAAAAAACCCTAATAATTATGATTTAATTATTTTATAAATATATCATATATTTTTAGTTTTGATAAGGAGGAGGGTAGATAAGATATAAAGAATATTCTCGATCCTCTTAGGTTTAGGATGTCTAGAAAGAGTGCTATTTAGAATTTTTAGAGATACGAAAGAAAAGATATAATTTCTTTGAATTTATTAGAGAGGTGTACAAAAAAATTTATGTTTAAGTGGTATAACTCAAATATCTTATAATTGATCTCATATATTAAAATTTTTAATTTACTTTGTGGATGTAAACAATGGTTGTTAACCCACGTTAAATAATTTTTAATATACTATTTTAATTATTAATTTATGGTGGATTTTTTTATTTTTTTTCTCCCATCGGATAAGATCGTAATTTCTTCTATCTATTTTTCTATTGTGCTTAGAAACCTTCTTGGGTAGGATGTCATCATCCTATCATATTTTTATAAGAATAAAAAATTATTCTAGAGATGGTGAGAGAAAATATATTTAGGAATCCTTCTATTTAGAATTTATACGAGAGAAAAGATATAAATTCTTTAAAAAAATCATGGGATAACTCATGAGTTTTGTAATTGATCTCATATATTAAAAAATTTATTTATTTATATTGATGTAGATAAGAGTTATCGACCCATGTTAAATAATTTTTAATATACTATTTTAATTATTAATTTATGAAGAATTTTTTAGTTTTTAATTTTTTTTTCTCCCCCAATAAGATGATGATTTCTTCTATCCATTTTCCTATTGTGTAACATGATTCTATAAGAATTAAAAATTATTATTATTATTATTATTCTGGGGGATTTCCATACACTAATTCTACTACTAATAAATAAAAAAACTCGATCGTTGCCGTATAAACTGCTTACCTAATTCTAAGTTTTATTTAATCTCCAGCAGAAGGCAGTTGACTTTAGCTTCTTTTTTTGGGGCCACATTTTGTTAAAGAATCTTGAAACAAATGGCTAATCATGTTCGATTTGGTCTACAAGGGAAATGAGAGTGAGAGTTGGTAGACCAGACAAGCATGGAATGGAGTCTTGTGACTGCAGACTTTTCTTTTGTCTCATGCTTGAAAACCATGGGCAGGATAGAGGAAAGCTGTACAGAGAGCAATGGTATAATAGCTAGACTTTGCAAATCCTATCTTGGTTTTGATCAGCTTATAAGATCTTCATAAATGGGTGTTAAACTTAATATTATATGATTATATACGTTTGTGGTTGGTTGCCTATATTTATAAGCATACCAATGAATAAGAAATATTTAGGAACATATTGATTTTTAAATCAATGATTTTGATTTGATTTTAAACCTGTTTAAATTTTTTTTTTAATTTGATAAAATCGAAACCAAGTATTCCACACTGAACCGATGGAAACTACTCCAAAGATCAAGATTTGTCACTAAGCCAAGAACTAACAACTAGTACGAGCTTTCTGATGCACAACACAAGCAGAGATTTCGGGGAGTAATCATAGTTCTGCTCCATGCTTTTAGCAGCAACAGTCGAATTCGGAACGGTGGATGAGCCGCAGAGGGATTAGCAGAGTCCCTGTAAGTAGCACAAAGCTGCTGCCTCAACTGTGTTTGAAAGCGGATAGCGACAACTCGGGCTTTTGATTTGGAACCGTATCTTCTCATCCAGGATGCTGTTCTATAAATTTATTTTAATACAGTGTTCACCAGAGCAATACTTGCGTCCTCTTCTCACTTACATCTCGATCAGAATATTAAGAATATGAATGAGGAAATTTTAGCACAGAATTCGGAGAAAACTCTATCTTTTTGAGCTTTTTCATAAGACTTTTTTTAATATATGAAACGCCTTATATGATAAATCTATTATATCTATGCTATGGAATGTAAGACTTATGGTGTCAATTATGTTTTTGGCACGTCCACCAAAACACTGCAATCTAGGCAAATGAACTCAAAATTCAATAAAAATCAATGCATATACAAACATAAAGTCTGAAGAAGCTGTTTCTGAGAATAATTCTTGGCTTTGTACTCACTAGTCAAAACAGGATCTCTTTATATCTGGGTAATTGTAAACCGACAACCAGTCTCAAACCCCAATTACCAGTAGTGTTTGTCTGCCAATTGTTTCTTCTAACTATTTATTACTTTGTGGTCTCCGTTTTCAATGAGCATATGGCCTCATTGACAAAAGTGTACATCTCCACTGCACATGATTGCACCCCCCAGCAGTGGCACAGAACAATGGCCTCATTCTATTCGTTCCAAAAGCTACTGCAGTGGAGCTCATTTTTAGATGCTTCAATGGTTGATTGGTCCCCAACAAAGACTCGGGGCTTGAAAACTCGCAGACCCGACCATTGACCGGTGTTATCACCTAAATGATGGCGTGATTCCCTAGAAAAAGAGGAGCTTTGCTAATAGTCTAGCACCTCTCTCACAAGCCACTCTTGTTATAGGCTCCGCATCTGGCGGATATGAACACTGCACCGCAGCTTCCCCATCGAAGGCCATTCCACTCCAAGGTGGAGTCACTGGTGTCACGGACGATCGTTCTTGTCCGAATCCAGTGTCTGACACAGGGAAGTATTGTGCTTCGGCATGGTAGCTTTTCTGCAATCATCTCGAATTCGTATCGACAAGCAGTTGAAATATGAGGACTGCAGAGATCCATGCTGTCTTCTCGTTCCTGGGAAGAAGGTGGGGCACTGCTCCAATAACTCTCTTCTTGCAAGTTGGACAATCGAATGATTCAACGAGTGATGGACCTACTCCGCACTCATGCTCTTGGATTATTGTGATTATTGGAGTTCATGTTCAGAATCGCTCAGCAAATGCGACATTGTTCTGAATCCCTCCTGTTGCTCCAACTAGTTCGGGCCTAAATCGATTGCTGTCCCGATCCGGAAAGATAACGCCTTTGGACAAGGATCGACGTCCCACGGTCTTTTCACATGCCCCAGAAGCAAACCTAATCATCGATCGGCAGCGCCAACTAGTGGACCACTTCTTCTTCTCCCTCTCCATCTCCGGACTACAACAGTACCTCCTGCTAGATGTTCTTGTGACCTGAATGCAGACCATATTGAAAGCAGCAAAAAAGTTTGGAGAGGGGAAGAAGGAATGGCGTAAGGAGAAGGAAAAGCACAGAAGCAATCACTAAACCCCAAGACATTATAATCACCAACAGCAACATCAAGAGCGTGGGCCTGCCGCGCTCCCACCTCTCTCTCTCTCTCTCTCTCTCTCTCTCTCTCTGTACACACACTTCACAAGAACTACTAGCTTACTTCTTCTTCCTCTTCAGCCCTACCCTCTCTTCTTATTTAGCTAGATAGATAAGTAGAGGGCCTTGAACCAGCCTCAGACATCATGCACACAAACAAGAAACAAGAGATCTTCTTTTGCTGGTTTTCTGTTCTCTCTTCTTTTAGTGCGTGATGGCTGGCTACTGCTGCTGCTAAATATTAATGAAGAGTGGAATAAGACGGCTAGTGATCGAGTGCGTTGGGTCCGCTACAGTAGCTCAAGTAGGGATTCCAAATCCACTGCACCAAAAACTTGCGGCCGCCCAGCCCGTTCATGTTGTAGGTGGCGCCGCTGTGGCCGTCGAGCAGCATCTGACCCGTGTAGGCCCCGCCCCCGCCGGTGCCGTAGATGCCCTCGCAGAGGTCAGCGATCTCGGTGGGGAAGCAGGGGTCCTCCCCGGCGTACCACGCGTTGATCAGGGGGTTGGACGCCATCTCCGCTAGCTCGTGGGCCACCACGCTGACCATGCCGTCGACCCCGACGTCGCCGTTGGGCGGGCGGTCTGCCGTCCGCGGCCCGAGGGCGAATGGCGGCACGGCGAAAGGGTAGGCACAGATCCCGGGGCACTGGGTGGCGGAGTTGCCGATCCAGGCGTAGGGGAGGGTGTAGCCAACGATGGCCGGGAAGGTGAAGTAGTGGAAACCGCAAACCTGGACGCAGAAGTCTTGGACGGCGACGTCCGAGGAGGTGAGGACGAGGTAGAGGCCACCCCGGGGGTTGACGGGGAGGGGACGGCGGGGGGAGTTCACGGCGTCGCGGATGACGGACTGGATAGCGAGGCGGGAGAGGGCGCGGCCGTGGGAGTAGCGGCGATCGGACCGCTCGGCACCGAGGAACACTGTGGCGGAGACGTTGGCACCGGTCTGGTCGGTGTACAACCGGACGGTGCGCCACCAGGCAGCGACGGAGGGGTGGGGGGCGGAAGGGGCGGATATGGAGCGAAGGAAGGCGCGGAGGATGTGCTTCTGGGCGGGCGCCCACGCTCCGTACCAGATGGGGTGGACGGTGATGTTGGCGGCGAGCACGGGGCCCATGTGGTAACGCAGCTTCACGAATTCCGACGACCCCTCGTACTTCTTCGACGCCCCGATCCCCGCAGCGGCGGCGGCGGCGGTGGTTCCGCTCCCACCGCCACCGACGCTCATGGTGTTGGCTGTGGCGTTGCCAAGTAAGTGGTGCGGCCACGGGCGCCATGCCGCGACGCCTAGCGGCAAGGCAATCGCCAAGGCTACAAGGGTGACGAGCAAGAAGCGGGAGCTTGTAATACACATCGTAGGAGAAGAGCCTACAAAGAAACGCCTCAGCTCTCGGTGGTGGTGAGGTGAACAGAGGGAGGGGGGAGGGGTCTCTTCTAAATAGCTGCTGGCTTTTTGTTGCCCAATTCCGAGGACGAGAAAATGTGCGGAGGGATGCATACGAACATCTCGCTCTTCCTATTGGAGCAGACAAATCAGAAGGACGGTCGAGATTAAAGGAACTAGTGCGATGAACGGTTCTGAACGAGAGTAGAAAAGCGCGCCATCAAGTGGCGGGGGTTGAACAGTGGCAGACAGGTTGGAAGCTCTGTGTGTGTGGCTGTCAGGGCTGTCCCCACCTGCCTGCGAACGCATCCCCAATCCAATTTCGCCGTTCTCCGATCGTATCAGGAGAACTGAAGGAACATGCGAGCAGAGGAGTACGTATCACCTCGCCGTGTGGGTCCCGTTGCAGTCCTAACAAGGGAAACTTGGCGATCGCAGAGGCTCGCGTCCGGTGCTCTCGCTCCCCGTGGTACGCGGACGGCGACAAATCATCCGGGACCCAACCAGTCCGGCGTCTCGGAGGGAGATAATAATTCGGCGGGGGGAGCACATCGCTTTCGGGCCCAACCCCGCGGAAGACAGGAGTGGTGCTCCCCTTGTACGATTATTATCCTCCATACTTCGCCTCATGCTGTAAATATAAGAACGCTCGGCCACCTCGCGGGGGTTGAATCCCAGGAGACTTGATGCATCGGTAGAGGCAGCCCCGTCCACGATCACGGACCGAACTGATGGGGCGCCATCTGACGCACAACACGAGGGCCTCTTTTATTTCTCTCGGGGACATTGTCGCAAACAGTTGGTGGGGTCTGCAAATGCGTACTCTTTATACAGCGGCACTACGAGCGAGTGGCGCGTACACGGCTGTGCCGGAGCGCAATGATGGGGTTAGATGGTGGTGGTAATGCGTGCATCTACCACTCGCTCCACCGTCCGTCCGAATTAGGTCGGCGTTTAAATCATTCCGGTCACGGACGTCTCTTTCGAATCCCCAAATTGGTAGTGATTATTCTCTGCGACATCAAAGTCAATTACAAATATAATACACATCAAATAAACTGAGATCCTTTTGAAAGCGAAGAAGAAGCTTCGACTTGGCTAAATCCATTGAGCAAGCCTTGGTCAAGTGTAATTTGCAAGAAGATTCATCCGAGCCCAAGTAATGGACTCACCGAAATTAAATTTAATCCCATGCCAATAGATGGGCGAAGCCCAATTCAAATGTAGAGCATTTCGATTTGGCCCAATCAGCTACCCAAGCCTATTTTGTCTGTTTGTCGTAAGACGAGAGACCAAAACCAAATGACTTAAATGCTTCGATCTTCAAAGTCGAGCCTATCAATTTGACTTTTCATGCTCAAATCTGAATCGGAAGTGGGTAGGTGAGCCGCATCTAATAAAGCCAAGTTGGCTTCTCAGCACTCATACGAGACCGCAGCCTTGTTTTACATGTCCCTTTTCGATGGATCATCATATTCTAAGTGAATACGTAATTGTCTACGAGTCTATGGAAGCCAATATAAAGAAAAACATTAAAAGAAGAAGATTATGGTGGTAAAGGTTTGGCAATGTGACAATGGTGCTTGTCCTATGATATCAGACTGTTGTGATCACTAGTCACGCATCCAACCTACCCTTTCCATCCTCAACGCGGTCCGAGGAGGAACTAATTACAGGCATTTGCTTTGGAATCCACCAAACTAGAAATTAAAAGAAATAAAACAGAGGAAATTTTGGTCAATGAGACAAGATGGGCCCACAGCCAGCTATATGATCGAGCCTCGCCTTTTTCACTTTTGTTCTCTTCAACTCACGCCTTTCTTAACCCGAACCAAATCTCAGGGGGAGAGGGAAGAGAGGCGGATCGAACGTAGCAGTAGACTGAGAGCCCATGGCCGCTTCCTCCTCCGTGAACGCCGCCCGAGCCCTCGTGGGCCTCGCCGTCTTCGACCATGGCTCATCTTCCAACGCCCGCCCCGACCGCGTCGCCCTCCCGGCCGGCGGATCCGCCCTCAGCTCCCACGCCGCCTGGTCACTCACGTCCTCTCCCCGCTTCCAGCAGTGCACCTCTCGCCGACGGCCCAAGCCCTGCTCCTCTCGTCGCGCTGCGCCCGCCAGGGCCGCTGCGGTGGAGACCCTCGAGGCCGCCGCCACGGATGCCCTCGTGGAGAAGTCCGTCAACACCATCCGGTTCCTCGCCATCGACGCCGTCGAGAAGGCCAACTCAGGCCACCCGGGCCTCCCCATGGGGTGCGCGCCCATGGGCCACATCTTGTACGACGAGGTCATGAATTACAACCCCAAGAACCCCTACTGGTTCAACCGCGACCGGTTTGTGCTCTCCGCCGGCCATGGATGCATGCTCCAATACGCCCTGCTCCATCTTGCTGGCTACGATAGCGTCAAGGTACGGCCTCCGATCTGTCCCGAGAGTTATTTCCAGATTCGACGATGATATTACCAAGGATATTGGGAACTTGATGGTGATCTTACTTTTGCCATCTTTATCTTCAGAGATTTGGATCGTTCTTCTTCTTCTTTTACCCATATACTTTGATCTTATCTGTGGTTTATGAGCAGTTCTGTTTGGTCGCTTTTGCTTGGCTAAATCTTAGATTTCTTGATCTATTCTATCGCGAAGTCTTCTGCTTCTTGACATATTTCTCAGCCTAACAAGAAGAGAATTTGATAGATATGGTGGTCCATCTAACTTTTTCTTTGTTCTTAATCGTGGGGATATCTATGTTTATTTTGTTGGAGTTATAGAGTTTCTAAAGTGGGAGAACTTCTCGTTTGAACGGTTCATTCAGGCATCTCTATGTTAACCAATCTATTTAGCTATGGTCTGTCGTGGAAAACTCATATTAGTACACTCCACTTCATGGGTTGCAGCTTCCTAGATATAATTGAAATCTTGCATTTCATCACCTTGATTATGTGAATGAGAGCTCAGTGTTCAGTGGTTTCAGTGGTCATGCTTTGATTTGTATCAGACTGAAGTAGTTTTGATGATTGTAATCTGATTTTAGATGGAAGACTTGAAGCAATTCCGTCAATGGGGAAGCAAAACTCCTGGTCATCCTGAGAACTTCGAGACACCAGGAATTGAAGTCACTACTGGTTCGTTTCTATATCATTTTATGATTCACGTATTTGATTGCTTGCTCTGTCCAGATGTCCTGTTCTTGCTTTCTATTGATGGTTGGTTGTTAGGGAGTTTGAGATATCAATTAATTGTCACAAAATGTTGCAGGTCCGCTCGGTCAAGGTGTTGCTAATGCTGTTGGTTTGGCTCTTGCTGAGCGACACCTAGCTGCCCGTTTCAATAAGCCTGACAATGAGATTATTGACCATTACACGTAAGTTCTATTCACGATTACCCAATTCTATCTTACTTATATTTGTGTGCTGCATTTTGTGCATAAGACTAGCTTGATTTTGGTGGTGTAGATATGTGATGCTTGGGGATGGTTGCCAAATGGAGGGCATCGCAAACGAAGCTTGTTCTCTTGCTGGGCACTGGGGTCTAGGGAAACTTATCGCTTTTTACGATGACAACCACATCTCCATTGATGGTGACACAGAGATTGCATTTACAGAAGATGCTATTGATCGTTTTGAGGCTCTCGGATGGCATACCATCTGGGTGAAGAATGGAAACACCGGGTATGATGATATTCGTGCTGCCATTAAGGAAGCAAAGGCAGTGAAAGACAAACCGACTCTTATCAAGGTTTGTTTCCAGAATTGCTTTTTGGGCACCAAGGGCATGGTCAACTGGTTGCATTTTCTTTGGGAGTGTTAGAGCTTTGATGAAATACTGAATTCTTGCAGGTCACTACGACCATTGGATATGGATCACCAAACAAGGCAAACACATACAGCGTGCATGGAAGTGCATTGGGTGCCAAGGAAGTTGATGCAACTAGGCAAAGCCTCGAATGGCCATATGAACCTTTCTATGTGCCTGAGGATGTGAAGAGGTCAGAAACTATGTAATTCCTACTATAATTGTCGAATAAAAATAATATTTTTCTGTTATGTGAATATATGCACTGGTTTTATGCTTCAGTCACTGGAGCCGCCATGCCCCTGAAGGTGCTGCTCTTGAAGCTGAGTGGAATGCCAGATTTGCGGAGTATGAAGAGAAGTACAAGGAGGATGCTGCAGAGCTGAAAGCTATCATATCAGGAGAATTGCCCGCTGGATGGGAGAAAGCCCTTCCGGTGATCACCTCTATTGACCCTTCACCTTCCGTTCTTCTTACAATATCTGTTATTATAGTTACATTTACGTTGTGAGATGGATTATACTAGAAATTAACTTCTTTGCTTCTTTTCCAGAGATATACTCCTGAAAGTCCTGCAGATGCAACTAGAAATTTATCGCAGCAGAACCTAAATGCACTTGCAAAAGTACTACCTGGGCTTCTTGGTGGTAGTGCGGACCTCGCATCCTCCAACATGACATTGTTGAAGATGTTTGGTAACTTCCAAAAGGGCACACCTGAGGAGCGGAATGTTCGTTTCGGGGTTAGGGAACATGGGATGGGTGCCATCTGCAACGGCATTGCCCTTCACAGCCCTGGTCTTCTCCCTTACTGTGCTACTTTCTTTGTTTTCACCGACTACATGAGAGCTGCCATGAGGATTTCGGCCTTGTCTGAGGCAGGAGTCATCTATGTGATGACACATGATTCAATTGGTCTTGGGGAAGATGGCCCTACCCATCAGCCAATTGAGCATTTGATAAGCTTCCGAGCCATGCCCAACATTCTGATGCTCAGGCCTGCTGATGGGAACGAGACTGCTGGGGCCTACAAGGTTGCGGTGCTCAACAGGAAGAGACCGTCAGTCCTTGCTCTCTCACGACAGAAGCTTCCTCAACTTCCAGGAACATCAATTGAAGATGTTGAGAAGGGAGGATATACCATTTCTGATAATTCTACTGGTAACAAACCAGATCTGATTTTGATCGGCACTGGTTCAGAATTGGAGATTGCAGCGAAGGCCGCAGATGAGCTAAGGAAGGAGGGGAAAACAGTACGTGTGGTATCTCTTGTTTGCTGGGAGTTGTTTGATGAGCAACCAGACGAATACAAGGAGAGTGTCTTCCCTGCTGCTGTCACTGCAAGGATTAGTATCGAAGCAGGGGTCACGCTTGGATGGGAGAAGTATGTCGGAAGCAAAGGCAAGGCGATCGGGATTGACCGGTTTGGAGCAAGTGCTCCTGCTGGGAGAATATACAAGGAGTTTGGCATAACAGCAGAGAGTATTATTGCGGCAGCCAAATCTCTGTGAGGTAAGCTCTGTCAGTGATCACAAGGAGAATTTAGATTTCAGTGTCAGTTTGAGGATTCTCTAGGGCAAAGGAACCTTGCTTAGTAGATTGAAACCTTGCCTTAAACCTGCAATAAAATTTTCAAATGTCCTTGAGCTTTTCCTTTCTCATAATTGATGGAGTTTTCTTCTTTAATGAATGATTGCATTTAGTTGTGCAACAAACCGTAATATGTATTAATTATTTGAATGTCGAATACTGTTTCAGGAATTTGTTTGGATTAACTAGTCCGTTTTACTCCCATCTTCCGGATTCTTTTGAGGTCATGCCGTCGGGTTCCCATAACATTCACGAGGCATCTTTTTGTTCAAAGGAAAACCGGAGCGTAGGGTTGAAATTGCATCCTTTGTTTAGAGATTCCTTGGTTGATCTGTTATATGTTGCTGATATATCTGCTGAACAATTTCTGTAGACTGAGGACATGATGTTAAACGGTTGAGGATTCTTGCTTGTGGATCAAGTTGTCAAACCTAAGTGATATCGTTGATAAGTTACCATAGTTCTTATGGAAATAGAAGTTAATGGTGGAGGTGATCTTGTGTATCGACGAGCTTCATTTATATTTCTCTCTTTGAATTTAAGTTTAGCATATGTATTGTTATTTAAAATATAAAAACTTGCATATATCATTGTTAGCTGAAGTTTAGTTAATATAATAGAATGTCTAGTCTGGGATTTTGCTATGCTAAGTTTCCAGACCCGTAAGGTCCTTTGTCATGATATAATAGAACACATCTAGTTGGAGATTTGCTCTGCTGCATTAAAACATTTGTCTGAATCCTCCGTAAAATATTTTATGGAAGTGCCACTGCAAGAATGCACAAATATGCCCTAATTTTTTCTGAGGACCTTAAATTCCAAAAAAGGGCAGCGACGGCGTTGGTTAAACGTCTCTCTCTCTCTCTCTCTCTCTCTCTCTCTCTCTCTCTCTCTTACCGTCTCTCTCTCTCTCTCTCTCTCTCTCTCTCGATCGGGTAAAACAGAGGCTGCGGTGGCATGGGAGAGCGTGTGGGGCAGAGAGAGAGAAACAGAGAGGGGATCGAAGAAAAGAGAAGGAAAAAAAAAAGAAAGAAAAGAAGAGAGAGGGCGGAGGGAAGGAAGAGAAAGAGAAAGGGAGAAAGGAAAGAGAGAAGAGGAAGAGAAAAAAGAAGAGAGAGAAAAGAGTCGGGGAAGAAAGAAGAAGAAAAAAAAAAAAGGAGAGGAAATAGATAAGAAGGGAAGCATAAGAAGAAGAATAGAAGGGAAGGCAGATGAGAGAGAAAAAAAGCAATCGAGGATGGGGTGTGAGAGAGAAGAAACAGAGGAGTAGAAGGGAAGGATGAGAAGGGAAATAAAAAAAAAGAAAGAACAGTGAGAGACAAGAAAGAACAGAGAAAACGAAAAAGAAGAGAAATAAGAGAAATTTTGGAGGCTCTGTTTTGATACCAAATGGATTCGATAAGTCTAACAAAACTATATTAGGTATGATTTTAAATTCTCTTGTAATCTCATTAATTAGATTTGTGTTATGAATTATAGATGGGCGAATCATGATGTTTTTAGATAATTAAATAATATACAAAAAAAATATTAAAATATTTTTTAAAAATATTTATATATATTATTTTTACTATAATAATAGTTGTCTGATACGTATATATGATTGGACTCTACAAATGGGGATTATATATATTGATATTTGTTAAAAATTAGTTTTGATACAAGAAGATATATATATGTTATTTATTCAATGTTAAATATAATTCTAAACTTATCAGGAGGGTATAATGTGATCGTTGCTATTGATACTACTACCAATTTTGTTCAAACGTATACAATTATTTATATTTACAAACCCTTAGTTATATTTATGCTCATTTATGAAAAGTTAATGATAATACTACAATGATTTACGCTCATTGGCTATATTTTTATTTTTATTATGAAATACATTTAATTATATTTTATATTTTAAAAATATTGTTAGCTAGGTTATGAATTGATATACATCAAAAGTATATATTAAATGAATAAAAAATATTTATTTTAATAAAATATTTATTTATGATAAATTTTGATTGACACTGAACTTAATAATAAATTTATGATGATTTATGCTCATCATCATACGCACGAGCAACGAAACAGATATCCTTTTATTCCTCGAGACATCTTAACATTGAACTTACTGCTACAGCAACATATATATAAACTCGGTTCCATTATTACTTCATGTCTCGAATGCTCAGGCCAGAGCTTATAACTTGGACCCTAGGAGGTGTCAGAAAAGGAATCTACGATGATCACCCGAACCGCGATCGGAATCCTGACGGTATGGTTCCCACCATCATCCACCCAAGTCAAGCTTCCGAAAGTGAAGCCTCCTTGCACCTTGTGAAGCGACGTGAAGGTCACCTTAAAGGGAAGCTTCTGCTT